ATCACCCAAAGTCCATAGTTTACAACAGGGTTCACTCTTGGTGTTATACATTCTTTGAGTGGAGACAAATGTATAATAAATGACATGAATCCACCATTATAGTATCATAGAGCAGTTTCATTGCCCTAAAAATCTTCTGTGCTCCACCTATTCAACCCTTTTGCCCAACCACCACAATCCCTGACAACCAGTGATCTTTTTAGTGTCCCCATAGTTGTGCCTTTTCCTGTGCCTTATAGTTGAAATCATATGTAGCCTTTTCTGTTTGCCTTCTTTCTCTTAATAATTTGTATTTTTCCATCATGTGTTTTTATGACTCGATAACTCATTTCTTTTTAGCATTGAATAATGTTTAATTATCTGAATGTGCCACATTTATCTGTTTGCTTTCTGAAGGAGATCTTGGTTGCTTCTAAGTTCTGGCAATTTTAAATAAAGCTGCTGTAAACATCCACGTGCAGGTTTTTGTGTGGACTAAGTTTTCAACTCATTTGGGTAAATACGAAGGAAGACGATTATTAGATCAAATGGGAAGAGTATATTTAGTTTTGTTAAGAAATTGCCACCCCAGCTGGGTAGCTCAGTTGGTTAGAACATCATCCTGATACGCCAAGGTTGAGGGTTCAATCCCCAGTCAGGGCACATACAAGCATCAACCAATAAATGCATAAATATGTGGAACAACAAATCTATGCTTTTCTCTCTCTAAAATCAATATATAAATGTAAAGAAAATTTAAAAAAAAACTGCCAAATTGTCTTCCAAAGTGACTGTACCATTTTGCATTTCAACCATTAATAAATGAAAGTTCTTATTGCTGTCGATCCTCCCCAACATTTAGTGTTGTCAATGTTCCAGATTTTGGCCATTTTAATAGGGTGTAGTGGTATCTCTTTGTTGTTTTGATTTGCAATTCTCTGATGACATCTTTTCATATGCTTACTTACCTACCATCTGAATATCTTCTTTGGTGAGGTGTCTGTTCAGGTCTTTTGCCCATTTTTAAAATTGGGTTGTTTTCTTATTAGTGAGTTTTATGAGTTCTTTGTATAATTTGGGTAACAGTCCTTTAGATGTCTTTTGCAAATATTTTCCCCTAGTCACTAGCTTGTTTTCTCATTCTCTTGATTAAAGTAATTTTGTATGCATAACTGTGTTGGATCCAAAAAATGTAAGGTGATCTAAATGTTTAACACAATGTACTATTTAATAATAATCAGGGTTTATCTATGTGTATGATACTTAGTATTAGTTAATGTATTTCTCTTAAGCTAGAAGTACTGCTACTGCTACAATTTAGTGTAACATTGCTATATTCTCTTTTGCTTTTTTTTTTTTTTTTTTAGATAGAGGGGGAGGGAGAGAGAGAGCATTAATATGAGAGACACATCGACTGGTTGCCTCCCACATAACCCTGACCAGGGCCAGGAATCGAACCCAAGACTCTTTGGTCCTTGGGCTAACGCTCTAACTGCTGAGCCAAACCACTCAGGGCTCTCTTTTGATTTTTAAAGTATGTATAGATAATAGGCCACAAAAATAAATTCAGTTTTTTTTTTGTTGTTTTTTTTAATCCTCACCCGAGGATATTTTTCCATTTTTTGTACAGATAGAGTGGGAGGGAGGGAGAGGAAGGGAGAGACAGACAGAAACATCGACGTGAAGGGACACATCGAGTGGCTGCCACCCGCACGACCAACCAGGGCCGGGGACAAACTGCAACCGAAGTACGTGCCCTTAGCAGGAACCGAACCCGGGTCTCTCCAGACCGCAGGCGGACGCTCTAACCGCTGAGCCAAACTGGCCAGGGCAAATTCAGTTTTAAGGAGTAATCTATTATAAACTTCCCTCAAACAATACATTAAATATTAAAACCATGTTAAAGAGAATAGTACTTTCACCCACAGGGTGTAAGAAATGTGCAGCAACTCCATGCTGTAAACATTGTTTTGAAAACATTCATGGTGTTAATTTATATAGTTATAGACCACTATGTGAGGAAAAAGTATATTTAATTGAAACAAACAACAAATGTTTACTTAGTATAAAGTTTATTCACATTTATAAAAAGTGTCAGTAATAGGAAATCCATTAAAACCAAAACATAATCAAGACTGTAGGAAAAATATTAATTAAAAAAAATTTTTTTTTCAGATAATGAAAATACTGACATATTTGTACTGGATGGCCTTAAGTTCTTAACCTGTTAGGAAAACATTTTTAAACAACACAAAAAGGTGGAGGGAACACACAATACAGAAGATTGAAGACGTCAATATGTCATAAATGTTTCAAAATGCCATAATGGCGATTTACAAAAGAATCTAGTAAAAAATCCCCCAAAATTCTAGACATTCTTTTAATAGCATAATCACCATATGCAACATTTCAAATCAAACTAATAAAATTTAATTCACATTCAATTAGAAAAACAATATGAATGATAGGAAATTGAGCTTTTGAATAGCACTAACAAACCTTTTCTCATTAAAAAATCTCTTGTACATACAGGAAAAGTGTACACATACATAAATTATCCGATAAACAGAAAAAATGATTAGAATTTTATAGGCAAAGGGAAAACCAAAGACACAGAGGACACTTTTGTTCTAGTTTTTCATTGTTCTGAGGGTTTTTACCCACCATTTTTACGCAGAGGGTAAACAGATGTAATACTTTCACACAGTCAGATTTTGTGTTCTTTAATTTTTTTCATTTTTAAAAGAGAATATTTCATGTAGAGGTATACCTTATAAATGTATATTTCTCTTTTTTGAATCAATTTCCTTTTTATACCCATATTCCATTAATTTCTTGATTGTAATAAAGGAGAAAACTCATCTAATTAAACATAAACTTTGTGTCAAAGTACATTTAATGTTTAACACTAATCAGTTGCCTGGGGAAGAAGCACAAACAAAAAGATTAATCAAACAAAAAAATCAACCCTCAAAAATACAACAGGAATACAAAAGGGTAGATGAGACAGAAATGTTGTCAATAATTTTGCATTGAGATACTTTCCTTTCAATCATTATAAGCATTTGTCAGTTGTGGTTCTATCAGATTTTCCTTTTCACATTTAAATTATTATGAGGTTAACATTGAAAGAATGCTCTACAAATACCAATGATTCCACAATCTTAATGATGAATTCTAGGTTCATTCATTTAAGTTAGAGCAACTGGACGATGGCACATGACAGCTCTAAGCTGCTGCTGTGGGGAATGGGGTCGTCACAGGTTCTGAAGCTGGCTTTGCAGTTAGACTCTTGTGAATCAGTGGGAGTAAACAAGTTCATGGAATATTTCAAATTATGATTCAATAAGATATATCATATATTATATTTCTATTCACCCTAAGAAATACATGTGTGTAAGAATGTGTATATATATGTACCTAGATACATACATATATGTGACATGTGCTTATAAAGTCTTTATACAGATTTAGAATTAAGCAATAAGATCCCTGGGTTTCATAATTTGAGACAGTCTAATTCTGTAGGTCCAAGTTGGGCCTAGAAAAGTGTGCTTGCTCATTCTAAACCTAGTTCTCACCAACATTTTAGGTTTTAGGCAAGTTATCCTTCTAAGCCTTAGTCTGATTGTTAGTTACAAAATGAGCAAAGTAGTTTGCCTCTGACCTTTTAAAGAGGATTAAAGTGCAAAGTGCAAGGTGCAAAGTTACATGAGAAAAAGTGTTTATGTAAAGCCAAGTTATGACTAATAGTAAAATTTTTATAGGTAATGTAGGAGGCTCTAAAAGGACCACTTTTCGCAGTTATATGTTAATATTGCTAGATGATTTCTTTGGGACAAGCAAACAGACACAAGAGTCTAAAAGGATAATGTCTTTGGCAGTCTGTAATGGTTAAGGTATTGCTTTTATGTGCTTCAAGATCGTGCTATCTTTAAGGAGAGACACAAACACATACGGTAACATGACTTACACTTTCTAAACAGCCAATTTGGAAGGAATTATCAAAGGCATGTGAGTTTATTCCCACCTCTGTAAAATTTAAACAAAATACAATTGTACAAATGATCTTAAATGATAGAAAAATGCAAAGCCTACATTGTGTGTGTGTGTGTGTGTGTGTGTGTGTGTATGTGATTCTGGATCTCTTTACTATATTTAATAGTCGTACTTCTTGAGCTCCTGCAAGAAGGAAACAAATTCATACATACATACACACCCATCTCCATAAATGGGTGCATACACACTCACTCCAGAGGTTTATAGCTTATACTATTACATTCTTAAGGAGAGACTGGTCACATATACAATTAGAAGAAGAGATATAGTATAAATTAAAATGGTTACCTGTGGTGTTTTGTGTATAAACATTAAGAGATACAATGGGTTGCTGGTAACTTTAATCAATATTATTTTAATAGCAGAAAAGTAAATTACTTTTTCTAGGTTCTCAAGCTATTATTTAGAAAATCAACACATTTTCAAGATAAATAATTATATATAGTTATATATAGATAAATTAACAATAAAATAGGTATGTCTACATAGTAATATGGGCAACTTTATCAAGTTCTAGTCACTCCTAGATTTGAGGCCTATTTCTTTATTTGATAGTAAAACAACTTTTGCAAATCCTTGCTATTGCAATCCTTTGAACATCTAACTCCCTAGCATGTGTTTTCATTTTTTTCTAAAGAAAATTGCTGATCCCACTCCTCATAATGAAAACATAGCAAGACTTAACTAAAACCTACAAAATATGGTGAATGCTATGCAATAGTTTACAATATAAAACCAAGTGATTATAAGGCCACCAATTTATAATGAAATACCAAATTCTGTGAAGTTTTGCAACCAACAAGAATTCCTAATAAAGAGTGGGCCCAATATTGTGATGTGGGATAATCTAATGATTAGGAATTTTGACTTTTTAAATATTCAACACAAATAATCTACAATCTTGCCCTGGCCAGTTTGGCTCAGCAGTTGGAGCATCGGCCTGCGGACCACAGAGTCCCGGGTTCGGTTCCCACTAGGGACACATACCAAAAAAACCCCAAAAAACTACAACCTTTATCTGCACAAAGGATATAGATACTTCATCAGTTCTAGCTATGACATCCATACTACAGATTTTTTTGGAACTATTAAAACAAACAAAAAAAGTGCTCTCTTCTTAACTGCAAGGATATGGAGTCCAAGCTTCTTATCAAGCTGATAATGATCAGGTTCAGGTTCAAGCTGCCAACAAAACTTCTGTGGTGTATTACTCATCCTTATTCCTCCTTTATTCCTTGCAGTTTGTCAGAAAGGGCTGAACTGACGTTTCTTTATGGTTCGGGAAAAATGAACCATTCAAATAAAATAAACCTCTTACACCAAGATGGGAAGGTGGGCTTAGTGAGATGGGAGTGACAAAGACTTTTTAAATACCCTAAACCCTTTTGTTGGCCCAGGATATGGCGGTGGCGGTGAAATACTGTGCTTTCTGGTCAGTGCCACTGCCTGTTCATAAGAAGGTAATCCTGTGTCCTCCACTGAAGGTGATAATGGAGACAAGACTGCCTCTTCAGGTCTTCTGAAAATGATGGAGGGAGTCTGCCTGTCCCCTCTTACGTAGGTGGCTGAAGAACTAAAGAAGAGAGACAGTATTTATGTCTAGAAAAGGCAGTATTTTTAGGTTAAGGTGGCAATATTTAAAACTCTAACTGATTAATTTTACATAAGTTGAGCCCAGCCCTGGCCGGTTTGGCTCCGTGGTTAGAGCATTGGCCTGCGGTCCGAAGAGACATGGGTTCGGTTCCCGCTAGGGGCATGTGCCTCAGTTGCGGTTTGTCCCTGGCCCTGGTTGGGTCATGCGGGTGGCAACCATGTGTCCCTTTCACATCGATGTTTCTTTCTCTCACTCTCTCTCTCTCCTCCTCTCCCTCCCACTCTGAACAAAAAATGAAAAAATGTCCTCGGGTGAGGATAAAAAAAAAAAGTTGAGCCCAATGTATTAACACAACACTAGTTATCTAACAATAGAAAGTCTTGAAATAGTGGAAAGATCAAGAGCTTTAAAGTCAGACATGGTTATGAAACTGGATCCTGTTATTTCTTAGCTATGTGACCAAAGGCAAGTTACCTACCTCAATTTCCTCGTCTGTAAAATGGGGATAAATAACAGCTACCTCTATATAAGGATGCAAAACATGCTATTTTTCCTTTTCTGCCGCTCCTAGATGAAAACTTTCTCAAAGTATGGTGTGAAACCAAACCCAGGCTTTGTTGAAAGGCAGCACAAAGCCAAGTCAAGGAAACCAATGCCACAGATCATACAACAGCCGATGTCTGTCTCTCTCCTCTGTCCCCTGCTCACAGTCCTGCTGCGGGTGGGTAGATCCCTCCCAAACAGTTCTTCCATTGCATCACTCTTCTTTTTGAAAGTCTAATCTGCAGCCTTCTTTCTAGTGAATAGAGTTCTAACTCCTGTGCCTCCTTTGCAAAGCCTCCCTTATTCTGGCCTTGTCTTATTTTTTATATCTCTCTGCTCTTGCCAAGGTAGTATCTTTAACACCCCTCAGTATGTGCAATAAATTCCATCCCATCTCTGTGCTTTCACTGGTAGCTTTCCTTTCTCAGATTATGTCTTTTCCCTACTCCACTGATCTAAGCCCGACATTTTTTTTTAATATGGCCTACTTCAAGTCCCACCATTTGCACAAAACTTTGTCAGCTACACCAGCCAATGAAAATAGAAATGCAACATGGGTCTGATGTTTTGAACCTACGTTTTCCCTGCTCACTTGCAAATTACAAAATGATAATTTAAACATTAGTAAATTGATCTGTTTAGACTGTGAAGCCAGTGGTCTATGAAGTATCTCTGCATAAATTAACCTTATATAGTTATGGCTAACAAGATAATTAAAATTTATAGGTAATCTCCAACCTCTAGTCAATATTTACAGTATCTTTCCCCAAAAGAGACAGCCTGGCCAGTGTGGCTCAGTGGATGAGTGTTGACCCATGTCCAGTAGGTCACCGGTTTGATTCCTGGTCAGGGCGCATGCCCAGGTTGTGGGCCTGATCCCCAGTGGGGGACATGCAGGAGGCGGCCAATCAATGTTCTCTCTCATTGATGTTTCTATCTCTCTCTCCCTCTCCCTTCCTCTCTCTCTAAATGTATCAATAAAGAAAAAAATAAAATATGCCCTGGCCTGTTTGGCTCAGCAGTTAGAACGTCAGCCCTTGGACCAGAGAGTACTGGGTTCGGTTCCCGCTAAGGGCGCGTACCTCGGTTGCAGTTTGTCCCAGGCCTCGGTTGGGGTTGTGCAGGTGGCAACCACTCGATGTGTCTCTCTCATGTTGATGTTTCTCTTTTTCTTTTCCCCCCTCTCTCCTTCCCACTCTGCCTGAAGATAAATGCAGAAATATCCTCGGGTGAGGATAAAAAAAATAAAAAGTAAATAAATAAAAATAAAAGAGAGACAGTTTAGCAGACCCAAAATTCTATAAACTTTTCCAAACTAAGTCAGTCAATTTGCACTTTAAAACACCCTTTCCTTTGGAGGTAATAATGAAATCTGAAATTAAAGGGAAGGAGAGAAAAAAACAGATCTGTGTAAATCTAGGAACTGGATAATCAGTCCTTCAGTAGCTAAGAGGTGACTGACAGCATTACAAGTTTACTTAGAGGGCTAAACACAATTCCTCCTCTGTCAGAAATCTGGAATGTTTTCATGGTAGGCTAGCCACTTGCCAAATTCATTAGCTTGTAACGAAAAGTTCTATTTGTTTGCATATTTGAACAAATAAATATTTCCATGTCAACTTTCAAAACTTAAGATAAGAAACAATATAATAATTGCATCACAGTCATTAAATATCTACACAGCTATTTCTTACATACATCTTAGATGACTGAAATCAGAAAGTATGCACCAATAACATTTCTAATAAATGGACATCATTTAACACCCATTTTACTCCATAAAGTAAGGAAACTCAAAAATGAAAAGATCTTATTTCCCATTTCTTGGCATGTTTTTACAGAGGAATGAGACAAATTTTTCTTATACTGATCTTATTTTTCACTTTCTTTCTCAAGTATTTCCTCACCCTTCCCCCACTTTCAGACTTGCAAACTATAGAAAGGAAACAATAACTCTGCTGGAAGAATTTCTTGGGACAACAGATGAAATGCACTTTAGTAAGTATTTGAAAGTTAATCCCAGCATAGGAGAATATTTGGTAAACCTAGTTTGAAATGGCCTCTAAAACTTAAAGGGTTGCTCTGAGGGTCAAAGTGAGACAATAGATATAAAAATGATCTGTGAACTGTACAGCATTACACTGTACTAACATTAAGTATAACTTATTTTTTTAGAAAATAAGAGATGTCCAGGGTTTTTAATTTTTAATTTTAATACATGGAAAACACGCATAATAATGGCACCACTTTGTTCTCTCTGTCTTTGAATTGCGCTTCTAACCTCTTGTGGGGAAGACACTAAATGGTTTCAGAGAAAACAGGCATAAGGTAAGAAGATGTAATGGTGTAGAAAAGTATAAAGATAAAGAAAAACATGGGAAAAGAGAGAAGAAAATGTCAAGAATGAGGACACTGAATCATGGCCATGCTGTCACAAACCCTGAGTGGAATTATTAAACATGAGGACATAGATTAACCTTTTTGGAAAAACATTATGAATGGGGTGGGAAATAAAAGAAAAAGACAAGCAGAGTGTTCAAAGACAAATTTAGCCTATTTCTTCATTAACCTCTGAGTTCCAGGATTCTACCAGCTTGTGGAGAAAGCCATTGAAAAAAATCTTAGTCAAAAGTCTTCAAAAATGAAAAGACCTTGCTCATTTCCTGTCTGTTAAATAAGGGGAAATTAATAGAAGTCACAGCTTAAAAGACAGTGGCTTGGGAAAAATTAAACAAATTCTATGTTACTTTCTCTCACTTTTCAGGTTTTTACAGGATTTACAGAAGTCTGACAAACTCCTGCCCACAGTCACATTAATGCTTCAGGGAGCTCTTCAGGAATTCCAGCGTGGGGACAGAATTACAATCTGTGTTGCCCCTTTCCTCTGCCCTCTTTGCTGGCATGTCTCCTTTCTGCACCCTTACTGTGGGCATCCTTACAGGCTCAGTCCTTTGCCTTCTGTTCTTTCATCTCACTCAGAACTTGCCTACTCTCATGGCTTCATCTTTATCTTCCAACAGATGAATGAATCCTAATCCTACATCTGTTGTTCTAAACTCTTACCTTAACAATAAAGAAAAATATTTTATTGTGGTAAAATATAACTTAAAATTTGCTATTTTAACCATTTTTACAAAAACAATTTCGCAGTATTAATAATATTCACAATGTTGTGCAACCATCACCATTATCTATATCCATAACCTTTCATCACCTGGTCACCATCATGTACTTGTTCCCGTAACTGGAAAGTGTGAATAGCAGTATATAAGCACTGATTTTGAATAGCCTGTTTAGCATCCAGTGCTTTTTTGGAATAACGTTAGTTTACACTTACTTTATTTACTGAGACAATAATATAGAAGATGATAATTTTTTATTCCTATAAGTATGTTGAGGTTCTATTATGCAAACAATTATGGATTTTATGAATATTTATGAAGCTTTATTAATGTGCTATCATCTTCAAGTGATAACCATTTTATTTATTACTTTTTATTTAATTTAGAGTATCAGTAAAAATAATCGACTTTATTTATTATTTTTTTTTTTTGTCCTCACCCGAGGATATTTTTCCATTTTTTGTACAGATAGAGTGGGAGGGAGAGAGAGGAAGGGAGAGAGAGAGAGGAAGGGAGAGAGAGAGAGAAACATCGACGTGAAGGGACACATCGAGTGGCTGCCACCCGCACGACCAACCAGGGCCGGGGACAAACTGCAACCGAGGTACATGCCCTTAGCGGGAACCGAACCCGGGTCTCTCCGGACCGCAGGCCGACGCTCTAACCGCTGAGCCAAACTGGCCAGGGCAAAATAATCGACTTTAAAAGCTCGTTATTCTGCTTCTATTTGGGTGCCACATGGCTAGAACTGATATCACTGTGACTCAGAGTAAACTATGGGATTTCTTGCCTCTGGAAATAATGTGGGGACACTGGTATCTGCCTCCTGTTCAAGAAGGAAATTTTGAAAAATCAAGCTGACATTTGTGAATCTTCTTGAATTCTTCTGAAGGACTTTAGAAATTGCATTTAGTTTTTTACTTGTTTTATTGTTTTTATTTTTATCCTCACCCGAGGATATTTTTCCATTTTTTGTACAGATAGAGTGGGAGGGAGAGAGAGGAAGGGAGAGAGAGAGAGAAACATCGATGTGAAGGGATACATCGAGTGGCTGCCACCCGCACGACCAACCAGGGCCGGGGACAAACTGCAACCGAGGTACGTGCCCCCAGCGGGAACCGAACCCGGGTCTCTCCGGACCGCAGGCTGACGCTCTAACTGCTGAGCCAAACCGGCCAGGGCTTACTTGTTTTAAATTAGGCAACCAAACAACTGTCATATACTAAACTGGGGACACATCACAACCATCTTGATTGGATCCTAGACCAGAAAGAGGGCAATAACGGAAAAATTGGTGAACTATATATAAGGTCTGGAATTTAGTGAATAGTAATGTACTAATGTTGGTTTGTTAGTTTTACAAATGTACTATGATCACGTAAGATGTTAATAATGACGGAAACTGAGTGAAAGATATATAGTACCTCTTTGTGCCATCTTTACAATTCTTTGTATATCTAAAATTATTCCAAAATAAATAGTTTACTTAAAAAACAGACAGCCATTTTTTTCTTTTTATTAATCCTCACCCGAGGATATTTTTCCCTTGATATTATTTTTAGAGTGGGAGGGAGAAAGGGAAGGAAAGAGAAAGAGGGAGAAACATGAATGTGAGAGAGACACATTGATTGGCTGCCTCCTGCACGACCCAGCTGGGGCCAGGGATTAAACCCGCAACCCAGGAACATGTCCTTGCCCAAGAATCAAACCAAAGACCCTTTGGTCTTTTTCTAATTTTTTTTTCCTTTATTGACTTTAGAGAGAGAGGAAGGGAGAGGGAGAGAGAGAGATAGAAACATCGATGAGAGAGAACATCGACTGGCCGCCGCCTCCTGCATGCCCCCCACTGGGGATCAGGCCCACAACCTGGGCATGTGCCCTGACTGGGAATCAAACTGGTGACCTCTTGGTGCATGGGTCAATGCTCAACCACTGAGCCACACTGGCCAGGCAAGGGCAGCCATTTTTAATTCATTTAAAATCATAGTACTGCCCAGTCAGTGTGGCTCAGTGGACTGAGCATCATTCCATAGACTGAGAGATCCTGGTCTGACTCCTGGTCAGGGCACATACTCAGGGTTGTAGGTTCGATCCCCAGTAGAGGGCGTGCAGGAGGCAGCCAATGGATGTTTCTCTCTTACATCCATGTTTCTATCTCTCTCTCCCTTCCTTTCTCTCAAAAAAATCAATAAAAACATATAAAAAAATAAATAAAAATAACAGTACCTAATATATAATAGTGAATTAAATATTTTCACTTGGTACTTACCCTGGGTGCTGTTGTCCGTCACACTTAGTGATACAAAGATAGTAACCAAGTAATCCAAAAATAACCAAAAATACTCCAGCAGCAATTAGTCCAGTCAGAAGGCCCATACCATCAATTTTCTCTCTGTTATCACCTTAAGAAAAACAATTAAAATAACATAAATATGATAACTGAAAAGCACTACCTATGATTTCAATAAATTTAACCCTGGGTCTAAGCACAGTATTAAGCATCAAATAATTAATATTGATTTTTTTATTGTCTTTGAGCTAGACATATAACCAATAATTTTAAATGGCACTTCCTAAAAGCCCTAGTTATGGTTTCATTTCTTTTAAATAGGTGATATTAAATGGATAATATTCAAGACCAAGCAGGATAAACATAAACTTTGTTCCACTCCATACACTTTGATATTAACTTCTAAGATAAATATATTGAGCAACTCTACTGTAGCTAAGTAATATAGTCTGCCTATAAGCTGGGGCCCCACCTGACTAAAAGTCAGCTAGAGATGATCAATATAGATAAAAGACAGGATCATCCCTCTTTGGAAGTTACTTCATTCTACCTGGCAATCTTAACTTATCTAGTAGCATATGTATTCCTTTCACTTGTAATGGTAAAAAAAAAAAAAAGACCAAAAAAAAGTACTACTTGAAACCAATGGAGTACAACTTTTATTCAGTGCAAGTCTTGACTTAGCTGAGCTGTTTAAAGCAGCTTTAAGCCTATTATCTCATTTCCCCAGTATCTCGCCAAACTTGATTTTCGGTAAACAGATGAATGTGGCCTTCTTTGTCTTAGATCGCCCAGTGTATATCTGAGAAATTTTCCTTGGATTTACAAGGTAAGTATGTTGAGCAATAACCAAACTCAAACAGTGAAATTAAAATGTATTATAAAAGAGAGATATGGGAAAAACATTAATCTATTCTTGTCTTACCTGATTTTGTGATTAGTCCTTTCATTGAATATTCCCGCCAAAATTTCATCTAAGAGAAAGGTAAAATTTCCAAGTTTATTTAATTTCTTTATTATCATTTCATTTGGTCCCAATGACCTAGACTCGGATACCAGTTCATTCCAGCTAAAGGGCGTGACTCACTCTAATTAAAGGACTACCACGCACCACTGTCTCTCCCTGCTCTGGAAATGGTCAGGGGATGATTGCCACTGCCACCTCTCTAACACTGTACCTGCTGTTCTCCCTTCACCTGCCCAGCGCTCCCACTCAGGCATCAGGGGAAACTACTGCACTGGAGAGTTGAGGAGAGTACTGAAGGTAGAAGCTGAGGCAGGGGACTCATTTGAGAAAAGGAGTCTAAGTTTTTCTATGCTAGGTAGGCCCTCGGTTTGCTAGATTTTATTGATTGGAAAGCATCCCTGACGCTGTTTATGTTCAGTGTTACATGAGGGAACGGAAGCAGATTTCAAGGAACTGTGATAAAATTATAAAATGAGTTTGTGAAAAACTGAATAATATCTCAAGAGGCACCATTATGAAGTGTAGACTTTGTTTTCCTTCTTTAAGACAAGTGGCAGATATTAGTGTGGAGGCTGGGCACAGTTTTGGGGAAAAAGAACTAAGTTCCATTAATATCTGCATTTGAAGGATTCCTAGAGAGGTTCTTACTAACCAAGGAGTAAAATAGAACTTCTGAGGAAGGGAAAAAGGAGCTGGGGTTATTTAATCTACAAAGGTAAAGAATTTGGGTCACTTAACATTCTTCAGGGATATGCCCGATTATAATAAGTCCAATGCTGTCTCTGTTTTGTAACTTTTCAAGATTAACAGACAGGATTTAATTGTATTTGAAGGGAGAACCTCTAAAAGTTTCTCCCTTAAATTACACTGTTATATCAAACAATAAACTCTTGAGTGCAGGGACTATTTATTTTGTATTTTCAGTCTCTAGCAGAGCACTTGGCCCACAGTAGATCATCAATACTTGAAATATAAACACAGTAATCCAAAAGCTTAGGCCACTGTTAGAAAAATTGCTCTGTGTCAAAGAACTAACTCAAATTATATCCTGAAGTTTACTTCACTCTGCTTCATGATTGTTTTTGAATATAATAAACATTAAACACACAAAATTACAGCATAATCGATCAGTTGCTGATTACTATAAGCCCAGTTAATTAAGTACAAAGCCAAGTCTAAATTTAAAGCTAATTAGCTTTTTAAGGAACTAGAAAGAGATAACAGGTATAGACTACTGATTTTATTTAAAGCATCAATCAAATCTCTAATGACTAAAACTGCCATTTTCTTAAGTACGATTTAATACATTTCCAGACAGTTAACATCATCAACCAAATTACCGTTTTATCTTCATCCTCAAAAATCTCTCTGGCTTCCTCATAATTACAGAGTTCTTCGTTGCACTCTCTTTCTAGGTCACCGGGAGTGAAGAGCTCCAAATCAAATCTATTGTATAGCAGGTGTCTATGTATGAAAGAATTTGCTGCTTCTTTTGATGTAAAGACTAATAAAGAAATAGAAAGATTTCAAACACTGATAAAAATAAGGAAGAAAATTCCTGTTTAAATTGTGAAAAGAATGAATAGTTCTTTTGATGCAGTTAAATTACACCAAACCCTTTTGTATGGTTTTCAAATCTGACAAAAAGGAATTATCAGTAAAAATAATTTCTGCTAAATATGAAATACAAATATTAGTATAACTCCAGAAAATGCTGGAGTTTGGATTATATCCAAAATTATCAGCATAAATAAAAATTATTTAAATATCTATCACATTTCCCTCCTGAAAATTATTTTTTCAGTAATTGACAGGCCAGACTATTTTATTCCTAAAGGGTTGGTTTCCTATTATCTTGTCTGAGAGAAATTAGTCTGGTATAATGGACAGTACTGGACTAAAGTTAGAAGACAGAGATTCTTGGTTTTAAATTAGCTTAGTGATTGTATCCTGGGATAAGTCACTTATATCTCTGGGTTGCCATTTCCTCATTTGTAAAATTGGGAAATGAACTAAATAATCACTAAGATCTCTTTATATTTTAAAATTATGTTAATACATTTTCTAAAATTATTAAATTTATTTGGGTGACATTGGTTAATGAAATAAATTAAAACATTTATATTAAAATTATTATATAAGTTTATATTAAAACATAAATTTTTAATTTCTAAGTTAATAAAATTATAAGTTAATTATAAGATAATTAAAATGCATTAATTACTTCCAAGGGAGTATTCCTTCCACCCATCCCCCAAATAGGTGTCTACAATGCTTTATAAGACTCTCTCTATATTTGCTGGAAAGTAAATGGTAAACAAGATAGAGTTAAGCAAAGGTTAACATGAAACAAGAATATCCCACCATGGCAGCATTTTCAAAGCCCACAAACTTTATTTTATTTTTTGCATTTATCTTCACGTAGAGTAGGAGGGAGTGAAGGAGGGAGGGAGAGAGAGAGAGAGAAACATCTATGTGAGAGAGACATCGAGTGGCTTCCACCCACACGACCCCAACTGGAGTGGGGACAAACTGCAAGTGAGGTACATGTCCTTAGCAGGAACCGAACCGGGGACTCTCTGGGCTACAGGCTGATGCTCCAAAAGCTGAGCCAAACAGGCCAGGGCAAAGCCCACGAACTTTAAACTTGTCCTCGTATCACATAAACAAAGCTTAAGTGATCTTGCTACATACAGATCACATTATCGAGACTGGAATTCAGAAACTCTCTGAAAATTGAAAAGTGTTTGTATTTCTCACTGCTAACCACTATTAAAGGGAGAATACATTAAAGTGGGCAATTAAAAGACTGTTCAAGACGAAGAGAGAGGTCATGGCCTGGAAGAGGAATAACTGATTTGTGAGTAGGCCATTTATTCTTAGCCCCTTGAGGACAGTCACACCTTTTTCTACTAATCAATCGCCTTTCCAAACAGGTCTGAATCTTCTAGAACTGTTTTGTTCAATACATTAGCCACTAGCCATATATGGCTATTGAGCGCTTAAAATGTGGCTAGGTCTGAATTGAGATGTGTTATAAGTGTAAAATACACACAAGATTTCAAAAACTTAGTTAAAAAAAAAAAAAAAGACTGTGAAGTAGTTCAATGGTTTATATTACTTATTTTTTGATACAATGGGTTAAATTAGAAACATTATTAAACTTAATTTCACCTATTTCTTTTTACTTTTTTTTTTTTTTTATCCTCACCCGAGGACATTTTTCCATTTTTTGTTCAGATAGAGCGGGAGAGAGAGGAAGAGAGAGAGAGAGAAACATTGACGTGAAGGGACACATCGAGTGACTGCCACCCGCACTACCAACCAGGGCCGGGGACAAACTGCAACTGAGGTACGTGCCCTTAGTGGGAACCGAACCCGGGTCTCTCTGTACTGCGGGCTGATGCTCCAACCGCTGAGCCAAACCGGCCAGGGCTCTTTTTACTTTTTAATGTGGCTTTTAGAAAATTTTAAATTATTTATGTGGTTCACTTTTTTTTTTTGGCCAGCACTAGTTTAATGTATTTATTTTAATGTTATAAATAACATACATTGGCTATTTGAACCAAGGGGAAGCTAAAATGATCACTGGTGTTAGCTGTTTTAAGAAATATTCTAAAAGACAGAATAGTGTGATGAAATATTTCTGTTCTTTCTTCTCCTTTGTCTTCTTGTAGATTTTATGCTTTCACCAAATGGCGACAGAATGAACAATTTTCCAAATCTCTATCATCCCTCATTGAGATTCTTGCAATGGCCCACTAATGGGTCTCCTGCCCCACCCCCACCCCCCATAGTCTGTTTTTGACATTTTGTTGTAGCTACACACTGGCTCCCAACTGACCTGGTTCTCTCCTGCCTTTGTACTTGCTGTTTCCTCTGAACAGAACTTTCTTCTTTCAGTTTGTTCTCTCACCTCCTTGATTTTGTTCAATGTTACCTTGAACCCCCACCCCAACCCACACACCTCTGGCACTCCCCATCCCCTATTATATTTTGTTTTTCTTCATAGCACTCATTACCACCTAGTGTTCTATATGTCGTACTTATTTGTTACCACTCTGTTTCCCTCACTAGAAGGAAAGTTCCTTTAAAGCAGGGATGTTGGTGCCTGACACATAAGAAGTGTTCAGAAAATTACTATATGAATGAATGAAGTCAACTTTCCTATTTTGGAAGGAAAATTTAACTTTCCTATTGTGGAAGGAACTCTTGGACCTAAATTCTATCAGTTGAAGCAATTCATAGGTATAGTCTGGTGTTACTCAGCTTGGCATAGGTTTAAAATACTAAACCAGTGATGCAGTACCTCACAACCTGCCTAACTTAGCTATAACTACATAGAATCTAATTTCAGAAAGATAAATTAGAAATCTGCTTCTGCATTGCTACTTCTCAGATTTGCCCAGATCTTCACATTTTATTGGCTAAAATAAGCAGTGCCAAATTTCTCATTGTCAGTCTTCTGTTCGAGTAGGTTATTTGAGTTATAAAAATACCCCCCCACCCCGCGCCCTGGCTGGTTTGGCTCAGCGGTTAGAGCGTCGGCCTGTGGTCCAGAGAGACCAGGGTTTGGTTCCTGCTAAGGGCATGTACCTTGGTTGCAGTTTGTCGCTGGCTCTGGTTGGGTCATGCGGGAGGCGGCCACTCGATGTGTCCCTTTCACATCGATGTTTCTCTCTCTTCCTCTCTCTCCCTCCCACTGTATCTGAACAAAAAATGGAAATATGTCCTCGGGTGAGGATAAAAAATAAAATAAAATAAAAAAAATACCCCCTCCTTCCAAATGTCACTCAATAAAGCTACCTTCAACTTGAAAGGAATACAAAAGAGAGAGAAGCATAAACATTTTTATTGTTCCTGAAGTGATTATGCCAGTAAAAATCCTCATCCCTGTATTAAGCATGCCTTCCAGAGACTGCTATGTCCAAGTGTGAAAGTTCCAATTCGGTCAGTGGTTGTGCCTTCCCAAACTTTTCCCTGCCTCCCTTACAGTCTTAGGAGAAATACTGTCCTCTATTGTTTAGGTTCTAAATAAACCTGAAAGTGCTTATAATTAAAAGAAGCAAACTTCCTTGCCTCTGGAGAGATCCTATTTTCCCTCTGGCCTTTGTATTTTCATATCTGCCTCCTCAAATTCTCTATCCATCTGTTTCTCCTGTCTGAGACCATTCTAAGAAGCTCTCTGTGCAGTTCACCATTTCAGACCCACCAACCCAAATATTGCATTCTCTTCCTCCCTAATTAAATTCCTTTTGAGTCATTGGCCTTTATGAGAATTTAGCCATAGGTCCCTTATTTCCGTAGTTACTTTTCACATTTTCATTTATTATATCTCATTTGCAGATACAGAGCATTGACTTCTGTGCCAAACAACACTCCCAAGATAGTTACTGCTACTTACTCTTTTCTCTGCACTCCAGGTAGGTCTCTGTTCCTACCTTTGTCATAGTTTATGGAGATTTTCTGTTTATACCCTGCCTCCCTGATCAAGGAAGGGGCCCTCCAGGGCAAGGATTATTGTCTTTCATTTCTACATCTCCAGTACCTAGCATAGGGCCTGGCACAGAGTATATATTAATCAAGTGGTTACTAACTGAACAAGTTGGCTTTTTAAATATACAGAATTCCTCTTTTACATTTCCCACAGATTACCAGCCTTTTGCCTTTTGCAAGTATGATCTCCAAATTCCTTCCAGAGTTTGTGATGATCTTAAAGGGTCTCTTTGTCTATTATTGTGTGAATGAATGAATACATTTACAAATATTCTGGGTATCAGCATCTGGTTGGTCCCACTGAGAATGGACCATCAACCTTATATATGAGTGGAGTTATATATATGGTACAACTTAGAAGGATATCCTTCCAAAATTTGTCTTTTTCCCACTAGCTGGCCTACCCAATGCCTAGAATTCTGCCATCAGGATTCGATTCCTTTGGATTAAGATAACTGCCCTATCTTAAAACACACACACACACACTCCTAGAAGGTTTAACACACTAAGCTGTATTAATCATTAATAAGTCCCCCAGGAGTATTCGTGTAATGGATCCTTTCCAAATGAAAATGAGTAGAGAGTAGGATCTGATGAGATAGGATAAGGGACAGGAATGTGTGGGGAAGTAGATCCAAAGTACTAGCACTGGGTAGGGAAGCACAATGACAAGGCAGGGAGAAGGATGCTGACAGCCAAAACAATTTTTTGTTTGTTTGTTTGTTTGTTTTTTTCTAGGTTAGGCTCTTAGAACATGGGCAGGAACCAGTCTATGATCTGGAACCCACAAGGTGTGGAAATATAGGTTAGCAAGCCCCAAACCTAATCTCACAACCATCTGATTATATCCAGAGATCTGAAAATCAAAAAGGACCTCAGAGATCATTCCACTTCTCACCCCCATTATTTTACAGATGAAGCAATTCAAGCCAAAAGGTTTCAAGCTACTTGCCTAGAGAGTCAGCAAGTCCAGACTAGATCTTGGACTCTCTCTCCATCTTTCCAGGAAGAACAACTAATTATGCTCATTATAATTACCACATAGCCTCTTTTTTTTTAAATGGCACTCACTGATTTTAGAAGTTGAAATGGGTTCTCCATTCAAGTTAACCACAAACAGGTCTTAAATATATATGTTTAATCAAAAGTAACTCAAAATAAATTTGTATAAATTGCACTTAACAAACCACAACATTACCAAATAAACCACGAATTAAACTAAAGAATAATTTAGTGCTTCTGTGATTGACGTAGGCATGTAATTTCAAACACTACTTTCTAATTTGAGATCTATAATAGGCGACTTGGAGTTCCAAGAGGGTTTTCTGGAAAGCTGAAGCCACGCTTACCTTCTTCCCCCGCATGCCCTGACGCCTCTGGACTTCTTGTACAAAGAGGAAACGCGATGGTAGCTATGGGCAGCTGGCTGAGCAGAATCAGAAGTGTAAACATAGTCCAGCAACTGTCAAACGAAGTAAAACAAGCAAACAAACAAAAACAGAAAAACACGTCAAAAAAGCCCCTGGCGCAGCACTTTCAGTTTCTTTAGGGACTGGGTCAAGGACCTGTTGTGCTCAAAGCCACTGGACAATTGTGCCCCGCGCGCGGTTTCGGTCACCCGGATCCTATCCGCGCCCTGAAAACGCCCTGAAAACGGGCCCCGAGAGTGCCTGGGGACAAATGCCGCGCCCCGGGACTCTGCGGACGGCTGAGCAGGCACCTGTCGCCATGGGTGACACTGCCTCGCGTTGGAATCGGACCGATCTGTGGAGGTGGTCCCTCCGAGAAACCCCTCCCCCGCTGGGGCTGGGCCACACACCTGAAGCTCTGGGGGCATGTTCCCGAGGCTCCCGGGCCGGAGCCCCGTCGTAGGGTGGTCCCTGCGGCCGCCAGACCCTCGGTCTCTGCGCTCCTCAAATCTCCGCGGAGCACTTCGCAGGGCCGCGATGGCCCCTGAGGCTCGGGCCGAGGACGTGCCTGGGGTCCGCGGAGGGGTTCCCTGGCCAGCACCGGGACGCCTGCGATGGAACTTCCTGCCTGGAGCCCGGGAGGCCGCAACGCCGATCGATCGGTGGGAGAGGGAGGCGCCTACTGAGGGAGTACCTGGGGAGGGAGTACCTGGCGGCGCCCCTCCTCCTCCAGGGCCACGCCTACCTGCGGCGCCCGCTCCGCTTTCACAGTCACGAACCTTTAGCCCGGAGCCCTGGGAGAGCCCGGCCCCCAGCCTCCAGTTCTGGCCCCGCATCGGCGCACGGGTGGCTGGTTTGATCTCGATCTAGACCCGGCTTTTTCTGCGAAACAAGGAGGCATTTTCAGTTCTCAGTACTCAGCCGAGCGCCCTTGGAGCGTCCGGGGCTTGTCGTTTGCGGTTCCACTAGGTTGTTGGTTTTGTAGTTACGTTGCGTCAACAGTCCTCAAAAGATGATCCGGGAACGAGAACAAAATATGCATCAGAGAAAATTCACTTTATTAATAATATTAAATGGGAAGTAACGTTAATTTATTCCGTGACATTGGTTCTCAAATTGTGGTCCGCCACATCTCCAAGATCTTTTTAAGGAATATCTGAGGTCAAACTATTTCCATTATGATAATATGACATGGTTTGCCCTTTTCAGTTTCTTTCTTTCTTTCTTTTTTTAATTTATAAAATTGAACCTAATCTTATTATGCAAAAATCAACAAATACGTGTTCAGATCTGGTTAGCCTTCAAACCACGTGTTCATTTTTTAACAAACATGCAAGTTAATTTGGCATGACAAACATCTTTCTCTCTAGATCTTTTTGGGAAAAAAGTTTTTTTCATAACACAAACAAGTGTGCAAATATTGTCCAAAAACTATTTACATTTTGACTCTCCAGTATTACTAATATTAATATTTATTGAGAGGAACAAAATACTGCAATGTTTGATCTTTTGCACTCACATTTGATTCAGCAGTATAATTAAAAACTTGTAATTGTGTGGGGCGTGTGTGGCTCAGTGGTGGAGCATTGACCCGTACACCCAGAGGTTGCAGATTGGATTCCTGGTCAGGACACATGCCCTGGTTGTGGGCCAGATCCCCAGTGTGGAGCATGCAGGAGGTGGCCAATTGATGTACTTTCTCATCAATATTTCTCTCTCTCTCCCTCTCACTTCCTCTCTCTCTAAATTAATAAAGGGAAAAAAAAAATGTAAAAAACAACAACTTGTAATTGTTTTGAAGATAAACACTTTGAAGGAAATTTAATAAATCTTGTTTCTGCTCTACAAAGGAGCCACTATATCTAAACATTTAACTGGAGCTGGTAAAATATGACTTCCAGCCTATTTATTAGCTTTTTCTCCTGTTGCCCAATACATGCTCCTCCTCTTCCCTCCTTTGAGTGAAAGTACAGAAAGAAAGCAATTTCTTTTCTCTTCCCTCCCCAGTCCCAGCATCATGCAAGGCAAGACATTACAAGTCACAACATCTGAATTTACCTTGATTATATTTTGTTTCTTATACTTAAAATTACTTTGTATTATAATACTTAACTGGGTCATCTCACATCAACATTGTCGATTTTAATTTGTTATAAAGCCAGACTTTTTAGAGGCATTTGAAACAATTCAGGAACTATGTCCTGATAATTGCCTCCAACCTATTCTTTTGCACTTGAAGTAAAAGAAGTTTAGGTATCAGTAGTTTAGTAAAAAACAATATTTTGGGGGTCCCATATAATGTATTCACATCTTTACATTGTAAACAAGGATATGATACTTTTGACAGCCTATGAACAAATTTTTATAAATTTATCCTTTGGTCCAGCTGGTGTGGCTCAGTAGGTTGAATGTTGTCCCATGCACCAAGAGGTCATAGGTTGAATTCCTAGGCAGGGCATATGCCCAGGTTTCAAGCTCAATCCCCTGTGGGGAGTGTTCAGGAACCAACCGATGTCTCATTGACGTTTCTCTCTCTCTCTCCCTTCCTCTCTCTTAAAAAAAACCCAAAAAAACATATTTTTATTTATTTTTCTATTTTTATTGTGTTTTTTTTTTCCCTAATTTAATGTTTTTTTCATTATTAATTAATTTTTTGTTACAGGTGTTTCTCCTTTTCCCCCCAGACACCCTCTTCCCGATCCCACTCCCCAAGCATTGTCTATGTCCATTGGTTACACATACATGCATATAAGTTCTTTGGTTTATCTCACCCTCCCCCTTGTCCCCCTCCTCTGAAGTTTGTCAGTCTGAACCGTACTCCTGTCTTTGTCTCTGGGTCTATTTTGTTTATCAGCTTTTTCTGTTCATTATGTTCCACAAATAAGTGAGATCATGTGGTATTTGTTTTTCTCTGATTGGCTTATTTCACTTAGCATAATGCTCTCCAGGTCCCTCCATGTTGTCTCAAAGAATAAAAGACCTTTCTTTCTTACAGCTGCACAGTGTTCCATTGTGTACATGTAGCACAGCTTTTTTTTTTTTTTTTAATCTTTATTATTGAATGTGTTACAGACGTTCCTCATTTTTCCCCCATTGACCCCCTCCTCCCCACTCCCTCCCCCATCCTGCCTTTCCGACACTGTTGTCTGTGTCCATTGGTTATGCGTATAAGTTCTTTGGTTTATTTCTTCCCACCCTCCAACCCCCTTCTCTTTGAGGTTTGTCAGTCTAGCAATGAATTTGTACTTCTTAATCCCTTCACCGTTTTCACTCATTCCCCCTACCCCCTTCCCATCTGGCAACCAACAAAATGTTCTCTGTATCTATGAGAATGTTTCTGTTCTGCCTGTTCATTTTGTTTGTAGATTCCATTGTCAACAGATATGTATTCATTGCCATTTTGTTTGTTCATATATTTTATCTTTTTCTTCAAAAAGACCCTTCATCATTTCATATAATAACGGTTTGGTGGTGATGAACTCCTTTAACTTTTTCTTGTCTGGGAAACTTTTGCTATGGCTATCAATTCTAAATGACAGCTTTGCAGGATAGAGTAATCTTGGTTGTAGGTTCTTGCTTTTCATCACTCTGAATATTTCTTGCTACTCCCTTCTGGCCTGCAAAGTTTCTTTTGAGAAATCAGCTGACAGCCTTATGGGAACTCCCTTGTAGGTAACTAACTGCTTTTCTCTTGCTGCTTTTAAGATTCTCTCTTTGTCTTGAACCTTTTGCATTTTGATGATGATGTGTCTTGGTGTGGGCCTCTTGGGGTTCATCTTGTTTGGGACTCTCTGTGCTTCCTGGACTTGTATGTCTGTTTCCTTCACCAAGTTAGGGAAGTTTTCTGCCACTATTGTTTCAAATAGGTTCTCAATTTCTTGTTCTCTCTCTCCTCCTTCTGGCACCCCCATGATGCAAATGTTGGTATGCTTGAAGTTGTCCCAGAGTCTCCTTACACTATCTTCATTTTTTTGGATTCTTTTTTCTTTTTGCTGTTCTGATTGGGTGTTTTTTGCTTCCTTATATTCCAAATCGATGGTTTGCTTCTTGGATTTACGTAGTCTACTACTGAATCTGTGTAAATTATTCTTTATTTCAGTTAATGCCTCCTTCATTTCTGACTGTGCATCCATCATTTCTGACTGGTCCTTTTTTATGCTCTTGAGGTTCTCACTGAGTTCACTGAGCATCCTTATAAGCAGTATTTTGAACTCAGCATCTGTTAGGGCAGGGCTACCAGTGTGAGCCAGGTTGCTGGAGTCCCAGATGTGGCGGCTGTCTCCCACCCCAGGAAAGGGCTCACCAAAGGAACAGCACCTTTGTCCCGGAGAAAGCCCCCTCTCCAGCCCCCGCTCCAGTGCCAAACAGCTCAGTTCTTTCCCGTATGTCTCTGGTGCCCCTCGAGCTGCCTCCCTTTCGAGCTTAGAGGGAGAGAGTCCGATAAGTCCATGCGCGGGCCCTTTAAGGAGCTGCCTGGGGCTCCAGCCACATCAGCTTCCCTGAGCCTCAGTTCCTGCTGGTTTTTCCAGCCAGAAGTTATGGGGACTTCTCTTCCTGGCACTGGAACCCTGAGTGGGGCGCCTGGTGTGGGACGGGGACCCCTCGGTCCTCAGAGAGGACCTTCTCAGCCGAGGTGTCCTCCTGATTTCTATCCGCCACACGTGGGTGTGGGACCAGCCCGTCCCCTCCGCCCCTCCTACCAGTCTGGATGTGGCTGCTGCTTTAATTCCGTAGTTGTAGGACTTCCATTCAGCTCCATGTCAGGTGGTTTTGAATGATGGTTGTTCTGTAGTTTAGTTGTAACTTTGATGTGGTTGTGGGAGGACGCGATACCGCGTTTACCTACACCACCATCTTGACCGGAAGTCTGTACCACAGCTTTTTTTTTTTTTTTAATCCTCACCCGAGGACATTTTTCCATTTTCTACTCAGATAGAGCGGGAAGGAGAGAGAGGAAGAGAGAGAAACATCGATGTGAAAGGGACACATCGAGCAGCCGCCACCCACACAACCCAACCAGGGCTGGGGACAAACTGCAGCCAAGGTACATGCCCTTAGCGGGAACCGAACCCGGGTCTCTGTGGACCGCAGGCTGACGCTCTAAACGCTGAGCCAAACCGGCCAGGGCTGTACCACAACTTTTTTATCCACTCACCTATTGATGGACACTTGGGCTGTTTCCAGATCTTAGCAATTGTAAATAGTGCTGCTATGAACATAGGGGTGCATACATTCTTTCTGATTGGTGTTTCAGGCTTCTTAGGATATATTCCTAGGAGTGGGATCACTGGGTCAAATGGCAGTTCAATTCTTAATTTTTTGAGGAAACACCATATTGATTTCCGTAGTGATTGCACAAGTTCGCATTCCCGCCAGCAGTGTACTAGAGTCCCCTTTTCCCTATACCTGTTGCCAGCACTTGTTGTTTGATGATTTGTTGATGGCAGCCATTCTGGCAGGTGTGAGGTGATACCTCATTGTGGTTTTAATTTGCATCTCTCTGATGATTAGTGATGTTGAGCATTTCTTCATATGTCTCTTAGCCATTTGTATGTCCTTTTTGAAGAGGTGTCTATTTAGGTCCTCTGCCCATTTTTAAACTTGGTTCTTTGTCTTCCTTTTGTTGAGTTATATGAGTACTCTATATATTTTGGA